CCAAGAGCTGGGCACTGCCTGGTTTATGAGGTTTCCATTTATGAAGATGGGCTAGTAGTGAAGCAAGAGAGAGCACGAGAGCTGCTTGCTGTTTACATATCAGTGTCATGAATTTAGGGGCTTATGGGGTACTCTGGAAGAAAGTTGACTGACATGAAGGCATCTGGAGATAACTGCTTAGCTGGAGTAAAGGTTTGCTTAACATTTCAACTTCACTCAAAACAGTTTTCTTTATTTTATATCTTGGGACACAGAGCATCTTCATATCAATGGCGAATGGGTTATACTGCTACTTTCAGGTTATTGGACACTGGCAAAAATAGACAGGAGATCCCCTTCTAGGCATAACCATTCCCAGTTAGGTAAGAGTTTCATTTTTTGCTAGTCTCTTAGATGATGTTCATGTCTTTGCACAAAAGAATAGCTAGCTTCTGAATGGTTCCACCTGGGATAAGGAGACTAGCTTTTTTTCCAGATCCATTTCCCTATGGTTTTTCTACGTTCATAGGAATGGTACCTGGACCCTGCATTGGACATGCGGGGATAGCCAGCACTGGACCCTGTTGAATGGGATCCTGCACACTGATATATTGCCTGTGGACTGATAGAGTGCTATACAGGTCCAAGGCAGTGGTCTCCAGTTGAGTCCCTGAAGGCTCTTAGTAGCAAAGTCCATCATGATAGGGGAAGATTGGACCCTAGGGGGGTCCTGTAGTATGGATTGGTGCGTTCCCTGGGGTAATCCCTGCTGGTACCGTCTCTTGGTGACCCCAACCTGAGCAGAGACTCTAGGCACCAAATGCAGGAAATGGAGAGTTTTTCTCCTCCCCTTGCATTCACTCAATATCTGGGTGACTCAGGAGTGAACAGTGTGGCCAAGATCTCACGAGTGGGCTGGAGTACCCTGGCAGTGGTCACCTTTACTGCATGTGTTATTGGCAGTAAAGGATGAGGGTAGTTCAACTGGTGCAATTACTGGAGTGGTGCTTTGGTGGGACTACAGGTCACAGCAGGCCAACTGTTTTTGGCAATGCAGGTCACAGCAGAGTATCCTGACTAGAGGTCGCAGCAGTGCATTTCTTGTGAGACTTCAGGTTGCAGCAGAGCCTTCATCTTGGACTGAAGGTTGCAGCAAGTATTGTATATCACTTTTCTTTGTGGGGGCGGGGGCACTGGCAGATTTAAGGGGAAATCTCTTGGGTAACCAGCCCACAGCTGTTTATTAGTTCAGTGTCCTCGGGTGACTTGGACTTGATATATGTCAACAGGCCCTGTCTCGATGGCAGAGAGGAGGGGATGTAAGGGGTAAAGGTTCCCAAATACCTTCAAAAGGTAGTAAAAAACCTGGATGCAGCCAGCCCCCCCCCCATGCAATGTGTTCCTTGGGAGTCAGTTTTTTCAATGTTGTTCTGACTCCTTCCACCTATCTGGTATTTCCACTACTTCTGGGGCACCTTCCTCCAGTTCCTTTGTAACAAGGGAGGAATTCACATCTGCTATTGCTGGTGTACAGCAGCAGCTTTGGAGAACATTTGTTGATGTGGACCACCTTGGTCGCATGCAATAGTGTCCCCTCTCTTTATTAGTGGAGGAGGCACCAGTAAAGAATGAGGTAGAGGGAGATGAGAATGTTCTGTTAGAAGGGGAGGCAGAAGAATCCTCATCTGAGGAGTCTAGTCCTGAAGAACACTAGAGCAGGGTTCAACTCAGTCCCAAAATGCCTTTTGAGCTTTCTAATGGAATTTGTCTGGGCTAATTTGAAGTTAATTCCTGAATCCTCTACTCCAAATTTTACAAGATTTGGATCGTGGTGTATGCCACAGCACCCTCATTTCTTCCCTGTACTTCCTCATTAAAAGGATTTTTTGCATGCAGACTGCACTCACCACGACAAGATGTTTTTTTTGTCAAAAGTGTTCACTATCAATACCCCTTGGAGAATGATTTCACTACGAAATGGAGTATACCTTCATTGGATCCGCCAGTCTCTCCAACGCAACAAGACCCTCCCATGTCTAGTGAATGAGGTTCCTGTATATAGGGATGTCTCGAACAAACCTCTGCAGTCTTTATTTAAGGCCTCTTTTGCACTGGTGGGATCAGCTTTACAACCATTGATTGCGACTGTTGGTGTGTGTCAAAACCTTAAGATTTCGGCTTGTCTCATTACAAGAAAGATGGATCCTGTTATTGGTAATACCAGAACGAGCAGAAACCTTGATGATTATCCACTTACTCTTAGCTTATCAGTGATTGTCTTAAAGGTTAAGTTCACCTTTTAAACAAAAATAATAAATGCACATTTTTTTGCAGGTAAACATGTAAGGTAAATCATGTTCCTGCACTGACTGTGGTCTATTTTTCAAGTGAAGAACATTGGCAGGCAGACTTTCTTTGTCACTGACAACTGTCTCTGGAGGAGTAGGATTTTCACTCAGAGGTGTTCAATTACTTTGACAATGGGACACCTCAGATGTGGATTTTCTGGCTTCCAGGTTCAATGTAGAGCTGGACAGATCGTCTCCATGACCAGGGATCCTCAAGCATTTAAGTGGATGCTTTGTTGAAACTGTGGGGTCAGTTCTCACTAATTTATTGAGGCCTTTCCACCCTTACAGCTTCTAAATGGTCTGCTTCACAAGATTCAAGTGGAAGAAGTTCTAATGATTCTGATTGGTGGACGACCTTTGGATCCTTCCAAATTGATCTGACCTTCCATTGTAAGGTCCAATCTTCATGACTATTGAAGTCAGAGTCCTGAGAGACAGGTTGCTTCACATTCCTTGGTGTGTGCCTTTCTGCAAAGCTTTGCATGCATTGTTTCACCAGTTAGGACTCAGCTGACTCTATGGGGTTTATTTACTAAAGCTGGAGAGTCCAAAATCAGACTCCCTTCTGCATAGAAACCAATCAGCTTCCAGGTTTCATTGCCAAAGCTTCATTGAACAAGCTGAGGTTAGAAGCTGATTGGTTTCTATGCAGAAGGGAGTCTGATTTTGGACTCTCCAGCTTTAGTAAATAAACCCCTATGAGACCTCAACTTTGTACTTCTGACTCACAAGGTTAATTTTTTGGTTGACATACTTCGGCTTGAAGTGTTCTGGAATTGGTTGCTGTTTTCTATAAGGAACCGTTCTTGATGCTCCACCTTGATAAGCTGGTTCTACTGATTCAGCAGTCATTTTTACTTATGGTGGTTTCTTCATTCTCTCTCTGCCAGGACATTGTGTTGCCATCTCTCTGGGACAAGGCTCTTCACACTTTGGATGTGATTCATGCTGTCAGGTGTTAGCTGAAGTCAACTATGGCTATTTGTCTGTCTTATTCCGGCTTTGTGCTTCCTGAGGGACCAATGAAGAATGACACTGCTTCCAAGTCTACTAATTCTTGATGGATCCATCAGCTTATTTCTCAGACTTATTGGGAATGATTTACTAAAACTGGAGAGTGCAAAATCTGTTGGTGCAGCTGTGCATGGTAGCCAATCAGCATCTAACTTCAGCTTATTCACATACGCTTTGATTAAAAAAAAAAAAAAAAAATTGAAAGCTGATTTTGCGCAATCCAGGTTTAGTAAATCAACCCCATTGTCTAAAGGGCAAAATTACACCATTTTCGGTGACAACTCATTCTACCTGGAGTGTGGGTGCTTTCTGGTATATTTAGCATCCGGCTTTGGTAGCTCAAGTTTGTAAAGCTGATACCTTTTCTCCGGATGAGAGGTTTTCCAAGATCTAGTGATACTCAGTCTAGCTTCCAAAAGAATGTGGATGACAGAGTGTTTAGCATGGGGGTTAATGCTGTCAATATTTAAATTCAGTAATGCTAAATCCAGATTTAGGGGAACAGAGGACCGTGCAATAACAGCTAAAATTTGAAAAATCGTAGACCAGAAGTTGTTTAGGAGCGGACAACGCCAAAAGATGTGAATAAAGCCCCCAGGGTTCCCGCAGTTCCTCCAGCACAAATGGGATACGTGGTTATTAAAACGGGAGTGAGATACCATCTAAGGGATATTTTTTCTGTTAATTGGCAAAGTGTCGAGCAGCAGGTGGCTTGGTAAATTGATTGAAATGCGTGAAGCCATTGTTGCTCAGTATAAATGTAAGCAAGACCGTCCTCCCATTGGAGAAGTGGTCTAACCTTGGTAAATGATTTCTTTTGGTTTAAGATATTGTAGAAAAGTGAAATACCTTTGGTTTCAGTAGTGGAGCGAGAGATATAGTTCCAGGCGGGTTTAGGAAGTTTGTAAAAGGGGTAGGATTGTTTAGATAGGCAATGGGATATCCTAAGGTCAGTTCATATTTTTAAAAAGTTGTACCAAGTGGATGTTAGAGCTTCTGAGGATGCTATCAGGTTTTAACCTGTTCTGGTTTGGTTATGTGGGCCGGTTGGCTTGTTGAAATATTACCCTCCCCTTGTATTCAATGCTTTGGGACATCCCTATTATCCTGGGTATGAAAATGCTCTGTGGCCCATGATGTATGATAAAGAAAATTGGGTTTTTGCTTCTCTTGGAGTACATCATGGGACACACAGAACCTGCCCCCTCTTCCTTTGGTTCATGGCTTGCTAAAAAAACTGAAGCCTTGCCTAATATATACGGGTTACATCTAGGAGGGAACTTCCAGTCTTTTTTTTTTTTTTGCCAGTATCCAGTCACCTGAAGGTGACAGCATAACCCTATTGTCACAAATATGAAGATGCTCTGTGTCCCTTGGTGTACTCCAAGAAAAAGATTTTACAGAACTAAAAATATTTTTTTTTTTTTTTTTTTTATTGGATAGAGTGCGGAATGGTTGACATCCCTTTGTTGCTGTCATTGGCCTGGAAAAAACAAACGATTATAAAAATGTTTTTGATATACAATAGTTCTGCTTAAAAGAAAACATTTCTTTATATGAAGGGATAAGGCAGCCTTCTGTAACTACATATATTTTCATCATGATCTGTACTAACACACATCTGTATGCACATAAAATTGTATGTCTTTCTTGCCAGGGAGGATGGGGGCTGGTGGAGAGGCTGGCTACAGCAGAGTTACAACAGCGTACGAGACAAGGTAAATGCTGAATCTCATGTTTCTGAATCCATCTAAAGTTGTGAATAGCAGTTGCTTTTAGAATAGTTTGCCAGGTAGTGTAAGGGTTCACAGCAGAAAAAAAAAACATAGCTATAGCTGTTAAAAGTGGACTGGAATCCTTCTAGATCACTTCAGGCTGGCCTCTTTTGCAGGTAAAGCTATATAAAACATTTAAAAATAAGTGCTTATGCTATTTGAAATCCAGGAATACACTGTCTCTCCCTGCTCTGCACATGCTCAGTTGCTCTGTATTTTTTGTCACTGTGCCAGAAACGTAGAGGCCGATCTGCTGACAGACTAAAGATTTACTGCTGCTCTGAGCTTCAGAAAAATGGCAGGCTCAGGGATGTGAAATGCTGGAGGCAATTTACAAGACACACTAATCTTGGTAGCACCATTGATAAATTGGAATGTAAGTTCCTTGCTAAAGAACATTATTATCAATTTTTTATGGGTAAAGTTCCTCTTTAAAGTGATTATATGGGCTTATCTTTAGAGGGGGGAATGGCATGATAATATGGAACAGTTAATGATTTATTGATAGCTGTCAATTTAGTATTTTTTACTGTTTCCACATGTTTGCTTTTATGTAACCCTAAAGTTTAAGGTTAGGTCACTTTACTCAGACATACATTCAAGAGAGAGACCGTGGCAATAATATTAGTATGAATGTACCTATAAGCTATAGCAGGTCCTGTGGCTTCCTGGTTCCAAATTACTTTACCTGAAGTTACAACGTTGGTGCACTATGTTGCTGCCATCAACAGAGTCTTCAGGTAAAGTGAATGAAAATTCTGTACCCACAGTACCAAGCTATTTCAGCTCACGGCACCTAATATGCTGGCTCCTGATACTGTCTGCCATTAATCAGCTACAATTCCATGGATGTCACTTTACTATGTGTGATGTATACAAAGTTATGATTTTCTTGAAAACTCCCATCACTCAAGGGTGTTGGACAGTGGGAGCTTCCAGTATTGATGGAGTCTTGTTTGTAATGTAAAGCAGTTGTTCCAAGATGTTCTTTCAGCACATCTGAAAGAGCGCATAAACCACTCTCTAGTCAGATGCAACTTAGGGCCCATGTACATGGGGCGTTTGGAAAACTCTTCTGCCTGCTGGAAATTGACTACTAGAAAACGTAGGTTAAAAAACATCAGTTTTGCCGTGTTTGCATACCGTGTTTAGCTGCGTTTATGCGCATTTGTAAATAATTAACTATATTAGACATTTTGAGAGAAATAGAGCATAAGCAGAGAGAGCAGTATGTGTTGAGATTACCTGTCTTTTCTGGTTGTATTCACTATGCATCCCATCCAGGAGTGGACTGACCATTCAAGCACTCGGGCACTGCCCGAGGGCCCGGGGTCAGTAGGAGGCCACATGAAATGCCCCTGGTACCTTTTTTATAGGCTTTTTTTGGGTGTGCTTTGAGTGTGGGCAAAGACACAGGGGCCCCATGATCCCCTATTGCCTGGGGGCCCCATGAGTTGTCAGTCCGCCCCTGATCCCATCATGAGCATAATTCAGCACGTTCTACTATTTTTTCCTTCAAGTGAAACCTGGAACTGAATGCACTGGTGTACTAGATCCATTTGAATACATGGAAAACGCTTTGCATGCATTTTTGATGAAGAAAAAAGGCTCTGGATAGCATCTGGGTATGGACCTGTCAAAAACCCTGTCTAAACACTAACGTGGTTAACTACGTTTACACGAGTTTACAGGCGTTTGTAAAATCTACTCCTGAACGCAATTGGTGCGTTAAAAAAAACGACTGTAAACTCAACTGCCTGTAAAAAAACTGTGTACATGGACACATAGGAAAACATAACGGAGAGTTCAGGAGCTGTTGAAAAAAATGCTCAACAGCTCCTGAACGTCAGTTTAGCAGCTGCAGTGTACATGAGCTCCAAATGGAGAGCATGTAAAATGTATTTTCTTTGTTTTTGTGGGAAAAACATACTGACTTTACTGTGTGCTTAGTCTGCAGAGGCTTTGGAGTTTATGAAAAGAGATCTATCAGAGTTTTCCCGGGTCGTGCAGCATGACACAGCTTGCACTATTGCTGCCACAGCCTCTGTTGTCAAAGAGAAACTGGCGGTAAGTGTGAAACAATTCATGACAAGAATAAATAATGATGATGAGAAGCTGTTTCTTATGCATCTATTTACTGATCACTTTGCCTCAGCTATAGCTATACCTGTGAGTTTCTTCCATGAAGGTATGTTCTGATGCAATGGTTAGCTTTCTAAATGGTTAGGTGACAGGTCTCCAAATTATAACTGTGGAAATGTGTTTTTCTTCTGTTTTTTCTTTGTTTGGAAATGACAAGTAGCATATTTTGTGTCTGTAGGTGGAAGGATCTTCAGGAACCACAGAAAAAGTGAAGAAAGGTCTTTCAGATTTTCTAGGAGTCATTTCTGACACATTTGCTCCATCCCCTGATAAGACAATTGACTGTGATGTTATTACACTGATGGCCACACCTTCTGGAACAACAGAGCCATATGACAGTACTAAGGTATACATAATTAGTAATCATTTGGTGAGCATCAGCAATATTACCATTTTTTTTAACATATTGCCTTTTTTTTTCCCTTTTCAGGCACGTTTATACAGTTTGCAGTCTGATCCAGCAACATATTGCAATGAACCTGATGGTAATTCATTCAAACTGAAGTTTTGACTTAAGAAATAATAGCCAAAATACTAACTGAATACACACTCATTAAAATTCTTGACTTGACTAAAGTATATTTAAAGCTGAATTCCTGTCAAATTTGAAAAAATACAGAAATAATGCATTTATGCACTCATTGAAAATAATAGGCAGAGGGGGACAGCAATGGGAGCTAATCAGGTGTTGCATGCATAAGTGCTGGCAAAGGGGGCAGATCAGAGTGAGCAGATGTGCGAGCTAATTCTGGTCCTTCACTGTACAGTCACAGGCTGGGATCTGAGAAGTGACAAAGTTGTAATGTTTAAATGCAACAGATAAAGATCAGGTCACCAGGCTGACTGGGCTTTGTGACAGGACTGTTTAACTCCCAGGACTGAATGGACAGAAGTAAAAATCCTCTGGCAAGTAACACAGTTCTCATATATGTATTTTAACTACTTATTTAGTTGTTTGCCTATTATTCAGCTTTAAACATCAGCAAAGGTTCTTGAACCTGCAACATAGTTTCAGTGTATACTGTTTAAAGGATAACGTTCACCTTTTGGGAACGTGTTACATTTTTACAAGTTCCCCGTACTAGCTGTCACTTTGAAAAAACATCATGGCCATGCAGGGCTCCACCAACACGGCTGTGTCATTCATTCATAGTGTTCTGTGAATGAATGAACTACAAGTCCTATCATCCTTTGTGGCTGTTGGCTTGTAGTTCTCAATGCAGATATACTGACAGGTCTGCAGGAGACCTGCATGGCAGCAGGGATCTGCTGATCGCTAATGCAATGCTTTACAGGCTCCTGCAACCACAAATAATAAATGCACATTTTTTTAACTGCAAAAAAAAATGTGCATTTATTATTTTTGTTCAAAAGGTGAACTTCTCCTTTTAAGCTCTTAAAATGTTTTTATCTGCCTGGAATCCAGCATTCAGAATGTCTTCTAACTTCCAGCTCCCTCTTGTAATAGGTGAGATGCTTGATGTGTAAATGTTATTTCTGGGTCAGTGGCTCACTCAGTAGTAGTGAAGCAAGATTATTGAAGATATCATTGGAGCATGCACCTTTTACTGTGTATGTATGGCAAAGATGATCATTAGATAAATGGTTCATCACAGTCACTGGAAATATTTGTTCATTTCTTCATTAGGATAGGTTACTGTATGGTAGTGTCTACACAATGTTTGATGTTACACTACCTATGCACAGAGATCAAGGGGAGGATATATTTCTTTCAATATCCAGTTATAAGTCTGTTTTTCCTCACCTGTATATGGATCTGATGCTCTAGTAAAGTTACAGTGGAACCAAACTTTAAATGTCAAAAATTGCTGGCAGGTAGATTTTTATTGCAGACTGTGTATGTCTCTATCTAGGGGATAGGTCTGACAGTGTGCAAGTATGCTCTATATACTCACACATTATAGCAGCTGCTCCAGGAGCCATGCTGTGGATTACATTTTGCTTCAATGGCCTCATAACAGAATATTTCCCACCTGATAAAGATACCTGTATGTACTGCAGTTAAGATGTGGACTTCCAGCATTTTGCAGCACATGATGGCAAAACCTTTTTATTTCCTAAGATTGCTTAAACATCTACAATTAAATTGTGTTTTATAAGGGAGTTGGCTGCCTTGTCTCAGCTCTTGCACAAGTGAAAGCTGTGAAGCAAGTGAGCTGTTTCCGAATTGGGACTTTCAGTTAAGATGAGGGGTAGCTGTAAGTTAACAAGCTATTCTCTTGCCTGGTTAAAAAGCAGAAATAATTTAATACAGTAAAAGAATATGGTTCACATGGAATGTGCAGTCGTTTAAGGGTTGGACCCTGTATTGGTACAAATGTGCTACTTCAGCAGCTTGTGATACTTAGGAAATGGCAAGAATATACAATATTTTGTGCATTATATATGACATTCCTTTGATATTTTTATGGATTTGCCAAAATATATGCTTTTTCTTAAGGCTGTCAAGTTAAAATCTTGCCTCATAGTTTTGCCCTGGTTACTGACCTTTTGAAAAACTTGTCCAGACTTACACAAAGATTACAACTCTTACAAAACACAATTTACATATTACAGGCCCTCTTGAGCTGTTTGATGAATGGTTAACCCACTGGGACTCAGAGCAACGGAAAGCAGAAATATCCGAACTTCTAGTTTCAAGCCCTTCAATCCGCGCGCTCTACACCAAAATGGTATGTGTGTTTTGTAGTTCTCTGTGTATGCCATTTTACATGCAGACCACTTTCTCAGAATTGGAGTTCAGAGACCTGTAATGTTTCTCTTCCTGAAGCAAACATCTAAGCTGATTGAAAAGCTAAGACAGAATAGATATTGTGGCTAGGGCTCTTAAAGTAGAACTATAGGCAAAACCTTTTTTTTTTTTTTTTTTACATTTTGGAATGAGTAAGGGAAGATCATAATCCCTGTCAGTGTATTTTTTGCCATCTGTGTTTTGTTGGGGAGAATTCCATTCACTTCTGGTCCTATTGCCAAAACAGGGAGTGAGAGGCAAATTAAAGTGGTAGTAAACTCTAGATTTATTTTTTTTTCCATTAAAATTAATAATATACAACAGGGTTGTGGAAATTTTTGAAAATATACTTGTCCAGGGACTAAATTGGGGTTCCAGTCTACTTGTCCCTTATGACAATCTGCTTGTTCAGATTTAAAAAAAAAAAAATAACCAAAACCGTATTTAAATCTGAGGTGCTTTTAGGAATGTCTGGGGCTATTAAAATCAAAAGGAGCTTTTTGGCGACTTAAATGTTTAATATTTTTGCCATTGTGCTGTTTATCTCCTCCTCCCTTCCTGCATGTCTCCAGCACCGTACCTAGGGACTAGCAGGGAGGAGCAAGTCCTTGAAGTGCACCGATTGGGTGTTCCTCAGGAAAGAGGAGTGTCGGGCTTCTCCTTATTCCCTTTTGCTGCCAGAACTGTTTTTGCGGGGTTTTTTTTTTTTTTGGTAGTATGTACAAATTTAAAAAAAATCATTTTAGGCTTGAAGATTACACAAAACCCCCAAACATGTTTTCTGAAAGCAGAGACCCTAGAGAATAAAATAGTGGTAGTTCCAAATTTTTATGCCGCATGATATTACCACAAAATTTCAGTAACAAATACACTTAAGTTAATTTTGGGGCATAAAAAAAAAGAAATTACCCTATTTTTTTGTAAATATGAGGTTGCACCGAGTAAATAGATATCCTCCGACAAGTCAAACCTTAAATTTGGTATTTGGAACTGTTCATAATTCTCTCTACCTTGACTAAGGCCTCAGTTCCAGCTGAAGAAAAACAGCCTCAAAGCAAGATGCTGCCACCACCATGCTTCACTGTGGGTATGGTGTTCTTTTGGTGATGTACAGTTTTGCTTTTGCACCAAACATATCTCTTGGAATTATGGCCAAAAAGTTCAACCTTGGATTCATCAGACCATAACACATTTTCCCACATGCTTTTGGGAGACTTCAGATGTGTTTTTTTTTTTTTTAATTTAGCCGGCTTGGATGTTTTTCTTTGTAAGAAAAGGCTCCCGTCTTGCCACTTTACCCCATAACCCAGACATATGAATAATACGGGGATTGTTGTCACATGTATCACACAGCCAGTACTTGCGAGATATTCCTGCGGCTCCTTTAATGTTGCTGTAGGCCTCTTGGCAGCCTCCCAGACCAGTTTTTGTCTCGTCTTTCCATCAATTTTGGAGGGACGTCCAGTTCTTGGTAATGTCACTGTTGCGCCATATTTTCTCCACTTGATGATGACTGTCTTCACTGTGTTCCATGGTATATTTAATGCCTTGAAAATTCTTTTGTACCCTTCTCCTGACCAATACCTTTTAACAATGAGGTCCCTCTGATGATTTGGAAGCTCTCTGAAGACCATGGCTTGTGCTGCAGGATGCAACTAAGAAAATGTCAGGAAAAACCTACTAGAACAGCTGAACTTTATTTAGGGTTAATCAGACACATGTTAAATGGTGGCAGGTGTGTACTGACTCCTATTTAACATGATTTTGAATGTGATTGCTTGATTCTGAACACAGCTATATCCCCAGTTATAAGAGGGTGTGCACACTTATGCAACCACATTATTTTAGTTTTTTATGTTTACTACAACCCCCAAATAATTTCAGTTTGTTTGTTTTTCAATTGAGTTGTAGTTTATAGGTCACATTAAAGGTGGAATAATTTCTGAAATGATTTATCTTTGTCTCCTTTTTTTACATCACAGAAACCTGACATTTTTACAGAGGTGTGTAGCTATTCTCCAGCTTAGTTGACCCAATGTGCACTTACTTTAATTCCATCACACTGGACAGCCCTTTACCTCTGGAGGCCCTTTTGGCCCATATTACTGTCTTACCTAAACCAGGGAAAGACCCCCAGTTTTGTGCAAACTATCAGGCTATATCCCTATTGAACTGTGATGCCAAGATCCTGGCCAAGCTCCTTGCAGTCCGCCTTCAAGATCATATAACAGCTCTGGTACACCCCGACCAAACTGGCTTAATGGTGGTCCAAGAAGCACATGATAACACCATTTGCACTTTGTACGTTCTGCATTGGGTCCGAAATGGCCCTGACCGCCAGCCCTGTACTATCGATGGATACCAAATAGACCTTCGATAGGGTCAATTGGACTTATGACAGAGCTGTTGTGTATGCTTAGGCTTGGCAATAAGATGCTTGGCTGGATTCCAGCATTATACAGCGGACCCAGGGCAAGGGTGAAGCTTAATGGGCTGTTATCAGAGCCTTTTCACATACATAATGGGACAAGACAGGGGTGTCCACTGTCCCCACTGCTCTTCGCCTTAGTCCTGGAACCCTTTCTTAGACATGTTCACAGTAACCGGAATATAGCTGGGGTCAGCACTGGGTCTGTAGGGCACAAATTGTCTGCTAATGCAGACAACCTTCTTTTCTGTGTCACCTGACCTCAAATCTCTCTGCTTGTGCTCATGGAGGATTGCCGCAAGCTTTTTTTTTTTTTTTTTAAACGTCTGAAACGAACTTTCTGACTTTCGTTTGGCATAGGAAACACCCAAGACTAGCATACAATATTTTATGCAGACATAAACGGGATGCAGGGGCAGTTTTACCGGATGTCCCCCTGTACTATAAGGCCATGACGCTAGTGCGTATTTTAAATTGGTGGCATGATGCCTCTACAAAAATTTTGGTTCTATTAGAGAAGACCTGGACAGACAGGAACTTGGCTGGGGCCCCATGGATACCGACAGGTGATAGAGGACTCTCGGACTGGACATCCCCACAGACTCAAGTGATCCTCACTGTATGGGATAGATTGAATACTTGGTGCATATGCCACTCGGACCTCCCCCCCGACGCCCCTTGGAGGCTTTCTGTGGTTTCCTCCTGGAGAGGATGTTTGTTTTTCGCTCTCTAAGGGAACAGATGGAGACAAGACGTGCGCTAAATTTGCACCTGGAGGGAAGCTGTTGTCTATTGAGATATTTTATGGTCCCGTTATGGGGACTAACAGATGGAATTCCTCTCTAAATTACAAATCCCCTTCCCCCTCAAGCCTACAGGACATATTATCTCCCTTTGAATCTTGGTGTACGGCCCCAGGAAACTAGACACCTGCTGTCTTATATGTGTAAGTTGGTGCTTGGAGATTATTTTCAGACACCCCCACATTTTATCAGGGAATGGGAGAAAGAGCTGGAGACTGAGTTGTTCCCTCCACAGATTCAGAAAATTATGCACCTGGCCCACATTTCCTCCATCAGCACTCGCATTCTGAAATCCTCTTATAAACTTCTGACTAGATGGTACAGAACACCCTCTCTCCTTGCTCAGATATTCCCAGGGGCAGATTCTAGCTGGTGGCGGGGCAGCTCTCAGCAAGGAACTTTCCTTCACCTCTAGTGGGATTGCCCTAAGATTAAGGTGTTTTGGGAAGCAATTACACCCTGGATCCAGAAAACGACCCTTAGGCTGATTTATAGTACCTGACTCCAGTTCCTATTTCATGATGTACAGTTCTCTGTCAACAAATACAAGAAGAGTGTGACTTCTTATTTTCTGACTGTTGCTTTATTCCAAGGTACCTGAAACAGGCCACTTGCCCAAGTCTGGCTGACTGGAAGCAAGAAGTAGATATAACATTATGGAGGCAGAACGCTGGGTACATACCGTTAAGAACCAGCTTGACCTTTTTTGTGATACTTGGTTGGGGTGGATGTATTACTCTAATGAGACCCCAGATGTTAACTAGATTTCTGTTGGATTCTGTAGTGTCCCCCCCCTCCCCCCCCTGTCTCCCCCATGTCAACACTTTAGTCCCCACCTGCATTTTATGCCTCCATGGATTTCGAGGTACTCATCTCCTCTACACACATGTTCTTTCGGGGATGGTTACTCCATGAAGGATGGTTATTCGGTGTACCCCCATTGTGCTTACAGTTCATTGTTATTTGTCCTGCTGATTTTTTCTTTTGATAGCTGGATGTGGTTCCTATATGTTACTCTGTGTACAAGAGGAGGATGCATAAAATTTTCAAAATGTTCCTTTTCTATGTACATCCTTATTGCTTGCAGGCTAGACTTTGATTTGTATATCATTTGATGTACTTTATCTGGCCTGTGGGCATAATCTGTTGACCTGCAATCTACCCTGCTGCCATGCAGTATTTTATGCTGTCAGGACATATCTCGCTAATGTTACAAGAAAAAAAAAAAAAAAAAGAGTATGATTGTCTTAAAATCTTAATAAACATTGTTTATAAAAAAAAGAAGCTGATTGGTTACCATGCACAGCTGCACCAGATTTTGCACCCTCCAGTTTTAGTAAATTTACCCCATAATTTTTAACAGTCCTATTTTCATGAGACCGTCACTTTGCCCTTGTTCAAAGTAACTCTCTTTAAACTATGACTATTAAAAAAATTATGTATTCTTTTGCTATTTTTCATTTACAGTTGTGTACCAATTTACTTCTATCAAATAATTGCTTTACATAGCGGTCACCAATCTAGTTCTGCCTCCCCATAGCAGAATGGAGTTTCCTGGTAGGATGGAATGTTCTCCCACCTAAGTGGCTAATTTCTAGGCCCATATTTATTATGTGGGGGGGGCTGTGATGTCATTACCCTATCTAAGCTATGACACTGGAACCTAGACAGGCTGGAATGATGCAGTAGAGAGGCAGTGTGAGTGGCTCAACAAAATTGAAAGGTTGAGGAGGGGGCTCTACTGCAGATACTGTCAATTTGCCCTGATTGGTTAGCAGAAATTAAAAAAATCATTCATCAATGAGGATGATCCTTTTCTTGTCTTTTTAACGACGTCTTTTGTATATTTTGTGCTGTTACACGTATGTTATTTGTACATTTTGTAAGAGTATTTCATGACAAGCGATAAACCCTCCTTTCACTAAACTGACAACATGTGAATGATATCTTGTATTTTAAACATCATTTCCTTTTAACACTGCCTTATTGAAAAGTTAGATTGTTTGCCCATGTGTCAGCTGTCATCTGTTTGTTCCTTGATGTGATTATAAATGTTTTACAGGTTCCTGCTGCTGTTTCTCACTCTGAATTCTGGCAAAGGTATTTTTATAAAGTGCACCAGCTTGAGCAGGTAAGTGTGTATATCTTACAGTATAATAACACAAGCAGCTTATATGCACAGTGTTGTGTTTACTCCTGATTTGATACATTTTTGCATGAGGAAATTTCTTCTAGGTATGCACTCTAATAATTGTATAATAGTCCAGTGACTGACATTTATATTGCAGTGCAGTGATTCTGGCTACAACTGTAAGTGCACAAAATGCTTTGATTTCTAGGTGATCATGCCAAGAAGATTTTCAGCTGATATTGCTGCATTTTATTAATTACACCCCAAGATTTTCTGAGCTTCAGGGAAATAACACCACACAGGCTTCATATACAAAATATGTTTATTCAACTTAAATAGTTTGTCAGCCTCAAAACAACAGTGCCAAACATCCATCAAACTCAAAGGCTCCTCTTGATGTTAAAGTGGATCTTCACCCTCTAGGCCACGGGTGTCAAACTGGCAGCCCTCCAGCTGTTGCCAAACTACAATTCTCATGAGGCATTGCAAGATTGACAGTTACAAGCATGGCTCCCAAAGGCAGAGGCATGATGGAACTTGTAGTTTTGCAACAACTGGAGGGCCGCCAGTTTGACACCCCTGCTCTAGGCAATCTTCCCTCCTCTCCACCCCTTCTCCACTGGATGTCTGATATGGCAGATTGCCCAGCTTGCTGAAGGCCAGTGTCAGTGCAGGTGAAAGTAGAATCGCTGCTTGGGATTTGGAAACCAGGTTGCAGCAGTCAGATGCACTCCTTCCATCCTTTCTGAATCTGTATCCAGGGAAACAGCCACTGAGCAGGTCTTTTGGGTACAGAAAGTTATGTCTTCTAGCACAGCCATAATCGATGAACAGAAAATCATGCTAGTGAGCAGATTCCGGGACCCAGGAAACTGCAAGGAGTCCTGTGTTACCTAATTTGAGGTTGAAGGTTAATAATATGTTTTCCTCACCTTTCTCTATAGTAGGTACACAAGATAATGAAAACTCTAGATGATAAAATTCACAACTATAATTGCAAAGAAGTAATAGTATAAAGTTGATTGGCAGTTGGCAGTGTGTGAGTTGCTGTATGCTGAAAAGTATATTCTGCAAAAGTGACACAGAATTGAATCAGCACCAGCGACTTATTCAAACAAAAATATACATCACAGCTTTCACAAAGCAGAAGTTTACAACAGGACTGCTATTCTAAATGGCTTATATTCTAGGCCCACACAGAAAGACACAACACCTGGTGTAAACAGTGCAGAAATAGGACCTGTGCAAAGGAAAATAAAGATTATGATCTGATGTTTCAACCTATACCCTAAACTAAGACAGGTTTATGTTTGGAGAGAGGTAAATGATGCCTTCAACACACAGTCCAGGGAATTCACCAAAAGTGACAGTGCTTCCACCTATATCATGCACTTTGTGTGAAGAATGTCACCAGCACACCAAAGATCTCCATGAAGGGTCCTAAGCTTTAATCCGCAATCATATAGTTGTGACATGCCTGATGAAGGAGTCCTGTGTGACTCCTAAACATTGCTTATGCTGTGAGTATGTGATTGTGGATTAAAGCTTTGGACCCTTCATGGAGATCCTTGGTGTGCTGGTGACATTTTTCACACATTGATTTATCTCGGTTCCTGCCCATGGTCCCTATAGCACCCATTTACACATACAGCCATCCATTGAAGCAGGAATGTGTGTGTTGGGACTATCCTATATTCGTTTTATATCATGCACTTGTCACAGATAAATACATTAATTTGTCAGTGTCTGCACTGGGAAAGGGGTGTCTACACCGGACACTTCTTCCCCAATGCACTTCTGCCCTCCCTCCCCTGCCACTACATCCATCACACTGACAGGTGCTTGACAAGCGATTTTTTTTTTTTTTTTTTTTTTTTTTATAGTGGGAGTGGTGGAGCCTGATGGGGAACTGAGAGACCAGTTCCGCATCAGGTCCGGTCCACCTCTGATTGACAGCACAGGCAGTGGGCGGATCCATAGCAACTGTTCAGAACAGTAGTGGCTTTCAGGTGAGTCCATTGCTGTGCACTGTCACTCAAAGTGGAGCAAACCTGATAGAAAACTAGTCTGTCAGTTAACCATCGGGCTCTACCCACCCAGTGACAAGCCATTTACTAAATATGGGCATTGTCCATATTTGGGTAATGAAATCATGTGTATCCCTGCCCTTTTGTTTACATTTAGCTTTGGGATGGGGAATCTCCCGGAGTAGGGGATGCAGTGCTATGCAGGAAGCTGTCACATATATGATAGATTCCCAGCACAAGCAGGGCCCGCTTTGAGCACTGACGTACCTCTATATGCCAGCTCAGAGTTGGTCTTAATTATCACCAGTTTCTTAAATGGAGAACTGGCGGTAATTCTTTTTGAATTTGTCTCTGCCATAGCAAATCCTTGAATTAGGCATAGGTAATTCTTAAGTTGACTACCACCAGAAAATTGGCGTTGAGGCCACTTTGAGTTCCCCTGTTGTCTGTTGTAAGCTATTTACAGTGCATCCAGAAAGTATTCACAGCGCTTAACTTTTTCCACATTTTGTTATGTTACAGCCTTATTCCAAAATGGATTAAATTAATTTTTCCCCCCAACATTCTACAAACAATACCCCATTATAACAACGTGAAAGAAGTTCATTTTGAAATCTTTGCAATTTATTCAAAATAAAAAAAAACAAAAAAACACGTACATAAGTATTCACAACCATGACACTCAATATTGAGCTCTGGTGCATCCTGTTCTCACTGATCATCCTTGAGATGTTTCCACAACTTGATTGGAGTCCACCTGTGGGAAATTCAGTTGATTGTACATGGTTAGGAAAGGTATAAACCTGCTTATATAGGGTCTCACAGTTAACAGTGCATGTCAGAGCACAAACCAAGCCATGAAGTCCAAGGAATTGTCCATAGACCTCCGAGACAGGATTGTATCAAGGCACAGATCTGGGGAGGGATACAGAAACATTTCTGCAGCATTGAAGGTCCCAATGAGCACAGTGGCCTCCATCATCTGTAAATGGAAGAAGTTTGGAACCACCAGGAATCTTCCTGGAGCGGGTTGCCCGGCCAAAATGAGCAATCGAGGGAGAAGGGTCTTAGCCAGGGAGGTAACCAAGCACCTGATGATCACTCTAAAAGAGCTCCAGCATTTCTCTGTGGAAAGAGAAGAACCTTCCAGAAGAACAGCCATCTCTGCAGCGCTCCACCAATCAGGCCTGTATGGTAGAGTGACCAGACGGAAGCCACTCCTCAGTAAAAGGCAAATGGCAGCCCACCTGGAGTTTGCCAAAAGGCACCTGAGGGACTCTCAGACCATGAGAAACAAAACTCTCTGGTCTGATGATGTCTGGAGGAAACCAATCACCGCTCACCACCTGGCCAATACCATCCCTACAGTGAATCACGGTGGTGGCAGCATCATGCTGTGGGGATGGTTTTCAGCCACAGGAACTGAGAGACTAGTTTGGATCAAAGGAAAGACGAATGCAGCAATGTACAGAGACATCCTTGATGGACCTTAGACTGGGTTCATCTTTCAACAGGACAAAACCCTAAGCACACAGCCCACATAACAAAGGAATGGATACAGGCCAACTCTGTGAAAGTCCTGGAGTGGCTCAGCCAGAGCCCAGACTTGAACCCGATTGAACATCTTTGGAGAGATCTGAAAATGGCTGAACACCAACGTTCCCCATCCAACCTGATGGAGCTTGAGAGGTACTGCAAAAAAGAATGGGAGAAATTGCTCAAAAATAGGTGTGCCAAGCTTGTAGCATCATACTCAAAACGACTTGAGGCTGTAATTGGTGTTAAAGGTGCTTCAACAAAGTATCGAGCAAAGACTGTGAATACTTATGTACTTCTTTCATGTTGTCATTATGGGGTATTGTTTGTAGAATGTTGAGAAAAAAAATGAATTGAATCCATTTTGGAATAAGGCTGTAACATAACGAAATGTGTCAAAAGTTAAGCGCTGTAAATACTTTCTGGATGCACTGTATTATGGTGGGAGACCCATGCTGATGATATGGGTAACATTATTGTATAACTTATTACTCCTGATGATTGCTCAAGATCGTTACATAAAGGCCAAGAAATAAAATGCTGTTTACGGGGCCCTCATGTAACCACTGTTCGCTCATGGTATCTCTTGGTATATTTTTGAAGGTCTTTTGAAGAATGTGCAAAACACCAGTATTTCCTTTATGAGGTTCCTTAACTACAGGATAATAATAACCCCCCTCCCACACTGCCAAGAAGTGTTTTAGTAAACACTTCATTATAGTGACACTGTGCACTCCTCATTCACATCACTAAACATTTATGGGAAATTCTGGAGTGCAGAGGACAAAGTATATTTTGCCTCGTTCATCTTTTAACTAACTGGAGGCATCTTCTTTTTTTTTTTTTTTTTAAATGACACAAAATCCCACAATGCATACACAGTTGAGAATCTGTAAACGGAAGCTGTTGTCATCACAACAAAGGGTGTATCCCACTCCTTGATATTACTTATATATATTGTCGTGTTTCTGTTATTTTGCCCAATCCCTGGAAGTGTAGCAAAATAATTTTTGCATTCTTTACTGATATTTTTTTTTTGGTTCTTCTTCATTGATACAATGGGGATGAAAAGTGTTTTATGCCTTTCTATTTATCTGGAGGAATTCAACACAAATGGTAATTCTTTCGGGGTACTGCTAGGCTACAGTTACCATTTCTTTATGTCCCAGTAAGATGGCAAAACTTAAAGCGATACTAAAGGTTCCTTTTCTTTTTTTAAATAACAAACGTTACTATACTTACCTGCTCTGTGTAGTGGTTTTCCACAGAGTAACCTGGAACCTGGATCCTCCTCTTCTCTGGTCTTGCGCTCCAGGCTCCTCCCTTCTGTTGGGTGCCCCCATAGCAAGCAGCTTGCTATGGGGGCACCCACAGCTCTGTGTGTTCATTCACACATGGAGCTGTGGCTTGGCCCCACCCTCTCTCTCCTCATTGGCTGACTGGCTGTGATTGACAGCAGTGAGAGCCAATTGCTCCCTTCTTGCTGTCTCAGCCAATGAGGAGGCAGAGACCCAGGACAACCGATGCTGTCGTGCACATCGCTGGATCGCGATGGGGCTCAGGTAAGTATTTCAGGGGGCTAGGGGCACTGCTGCGCACAGAAGGTTTTTTTATTTTTTTTTTACCTTCATGCATTCTTGCGCCTTTTAGAAACACTCTAACTTTTTGAGTTTCGAGGTGTGTCTAAAAGGTTCGGTGAATGGTATCAGAAAACAAACAAAACAGAAGATACAAACAAATTACATTTTATTGGCCTTCAAAATAATTACCATCCTTCACAACACAATTTTGGCAACATTCATAAAGCTGCTGGAAACTGTCATCAAAGGGCTCTTTGGGAATTGATCGCAGAACCACTGTCGCACATTCTGGGATTGCTGCCATGTCCGCAAAACGTGCGCCTTTTATGACATTCTTCAGGCGGAAAAAACAAAGAAGTCTGCAGGAGCATGATCAGTGGAGTACAGTGGATGACTGATAACAGGTACACCATGCTGAGCCAAGATTTGGCGCACACAGATCGCACAGTGCGCAGGCGTGTTATCATGCAGCAACGTCCACTGCCCAGTCCTGTGCAACTCTGACCGAATAGGGCAGAGGCGTCATAGCAACCATTTTAAAACTTCCTCATAGAATTTGGCGTTCACTGACCCGCAAGAATGAATTCCCTGTGGATGATGCCATTGTTGTTGAAGGCGATCAACATTTTCTTGACCTTGGACTTTTGCAAGCGACTCTCTTTTTGGGTCATGGGGAAGACGGTGAGCACCATTCAATCCATTCCTGCTTGAATTCCGAATCGAACTGGTAGTACCAGATCTCATCCCTTGTGATGATGGTTCACAGAAAGGATGGATCCTGGTCACACATGGTAATGAATTCTTCAGAGGTCTCGATCCATTTTGCTTTCTGTTCGTCTGTCAACTTGTGTGGCACAAAGTGGGAACAGATCTTCTGCTTACCTAAATCTTCACGGATCATGGTGCACACTGTGTCCTTGCTAATGCCCAATTCCTCCGCCATCATTCATAGAGTTGGTCGCCAATCTCATGCCAGCATTTGTGGTACTCGCTTGATTATGTCTGGGGTTCTGCTTGTCGATAGCCGACCTGAATGTAGCTCATCCTCGGTCATTTCCTTCCTATCGCGAAATTGTTTGAACCAGTCATAAACACTTTTTCTGCTCACGGCTTCCGTCGCATACACTTGCACCAACATTTCATGCGCCTCCATCTCTGTTTTCTCTAATTTGTAGCAGAACTTGATGTTCACTTGTTGCTCCATTGCACTATGACCCTAACCTCTCACACTGACTACGTTCGATTGCCTGCAGTGGCTTTACAATGAAGGGCATGTGTACGCGACTCTAGGTGGCACTTCTTGACATGTCTCTGGATAGCCATGCTTGCAAACCTAGCTCATGTTGCAGTTGGGATATTGAACCATTCACCAAACTTTTTAGACACACTTCGTAGGTCTGCTTTAAAGAAGAACCACTTCTCTTTGCTATGCCAAATAAGACAGGCTAAGGATAAAGTATTACTCATTAATATTGCCATTGATCTTTAATTGCTCATGATTTACCATGCCTTGTTCTGCACTGCCTCTCTGTGTGGAGGTGGCCATATTGGTAGATGCAAGAACAGTTAGTAGCCCAGTAGCGACATCACCAAATCCCACTCTAAATCTTCTGAGACAAGCCAGAGATAGCAGTGCTTTAGATTTACTTCAGATATACAGGACACGCAGGATTGCCTAGGCACCCTCACATACCAGGAAATACACTTCCATTTTTCAGATATTTTTCCATTTTTGAATTTCCCTATCCAATTTGAATATTTCATTTTTGAGTTCAGTTGACAAATCTGCCAATTAAACCAATTGCAGTGAGGTTTGCACTAAAATAGATGATGTGAGACTTACCCCTATTTTGAGGTGTTTAAATATCCTGTGTAGTTGCTGTGTGTTTGAAACTAACTCTCATTTTGTCACTTTCCCAGGAAGAAGCAAGGAGAGATGCTCTGAAACAAAGAGCAGAGCAGAGTGTTCATTTTGAAGAGCCGAGGTGGGAGGAGGAAGAAGGTGAGCATATGGCGATCTAATAGCTAGCAATTTTATAAAATACATGTTTGTGTATCTGTCTTTACTGTATAGGGGATATTTAAAGCTGATCTCTAGTTTGTTTTGACCAAGCTGGTCCAAATGAACTATTTTCTACACTAACTTATGTATTGGCTCTAAGTTAGGACTGTATGTAGCTTCAGCTTCCTGTCTCACGCCTGGAACAAAACGTCGGTCTCAGCAGCACTCAGCCATTCATAGGCAGCTTTGTATTCTGTGAGTCGGAGATTGTGATGTCATTGTCATCAGTCTGCCTCTTCACCTTAGCCAATCAGAGGAAGCTTTGTATTTTTTTTTATTTATTTAAATATTTTATTATAATTTTTTTAATGATCAATTTATACATACAAACATTATGACAATCAAAATAAAATTCAGATTTTACCTGACAAAATATCAAAAAGTATTAACTTTCCTCTTAATATCCTATTCCCCCTCCCCTCCCTTCCCTCCCTCCCAATATACAACAACCTTCCCCTCCCCCCCAACCCCATCCCTGACAGCCTAGACCAGCAATGGGCAAACTACGGCCTGGCGGACCTTTTAATCCGGCCCGCGGAGCTAGGCTCCGGCTAGGCTCCTCTCACAGTCCGCCCTGAAGACCGGTGCAGCATGAAAATCTGTCTCCTGTGAGGATCTGTCCCCCTCGACGTATCTGCACATGTGCCGGAGATCGCCGATCGGCTGCTAATGCCTGAAACTGGCACATGCGCAGATACGTCGAGGGGGACAGATCCTCATAGGAGACAGATTTTCATGCTACACCGGAACGAAGCGGGAACACGGCGAGAGGAACGCGCGGAGCAAAGGTAAGTGAATTGACACGGGGGACTTGGGGACTTAATATGGGGGATGAATTACTATATGGGGGATGAATTACTATATGGGGGGATGAATTACTATATGGGGGATGAATTACTATATGGGGGATGAATTACTATATGGGGGATGAATTACTATATGGGGGATGAATTACTATAGGGGGGATGAATTACTATGGGGGATGAATTACTATGGGGGACGAATTACTATATGGGGGACGAATTACTATGGGGGACGAATTACTATATGGGGGACGAATTACTATATGGGGGATTAATTACTATATGGGGGATGAATTACTATATGGGGGATTAATTACTATGCTTACTATGGGGGAATATTACTATACTTACTATGGATGACACATACACATCATTCATCTACTCTTGGTCCGGCCCCCGGGTCCAATATATGAACCCATTGCGGCCCTCAAGTCAAAAAGTTTGCCCACCCCTGGCCTAGACTCTACCCTTTTCTACTCATTCTAGAAATCTTGATCCGAAAATATTACTATTTTACTACTTCCTTTTTCACCGATGGCTTCTGAACTCCTTTACCTATATTCTAGATATAAATTTGACTTTTTGAATTCCTCCCATTTCTTCCACCTAATGCGGAAAACCTCCATCTTATCCTCATCCATGTGATAAAGTTCCTCCAATCTATATACCTGCTCCATCTTATCTAACTAATCTTTATTTTTGGTGCTTCTTGTTCCTTCCAAAACTTTGGTATCATTCCCTTCGCTGCATTCAAATAGTACATTAGACCTGAGTTTTTATATTTTTTCACTGAGAGTTGATCCCCATAAAAGAGACAAGTCTCTGGGTCCTTTGAAATGTTAACCTCCATTATTTCCTGAATTAAGCGGACTATACCCCCCAATATTCTTGAATTTTATCACATTCCCACCAAATGTGAAACATTGTGCCTCTACCTCCACATCCACGCCAGCACATAGGTGAATTATCTCCCCTTATTCTATTTGCTACACTCGGTGTGTGGTATACCATCTTGCTAAACATTTATAATTCATTTCCACATCCCTCATATTTACATTCCCGTGTATTAAGCTATATATTTTCTTTTGCTTTTCTTCATCTACAATTACTCCTAAATCCCTTTCCCATTTCTCTATAAATGGGGGCCTTGTGACCGTGTTTTAATCCTGTGAGGATCTTATATACTTTAGAAACCCTGTGTTTCCCATCTCCCCATGTATCTAATAAGTGCTCAAAAGGGTTCCAGTCCTTTTTTGTTCTCAATGGCCCTGGAAGCTTCCCCACGAAGTGTTTCAGTTGAAAATAAAGCCACTCATCCATTCTCACAAATATTTCACTCTTATTTTCCATTTCCCTATACAAACATACTTCTTCCCCCACCATTATATCTCTTAATTGCACATCTTTCTTCTTTATCCACCTGCCTGTGACACTTTCTTTACCTGGGGGGAAAAATTCTGTGGATCCTAAGGGCATTAACAGTGAATTAAATTACCATCTCATTTGTGTAAAACATCCCAAATTCTTAAAACATTATGTGCAAATACACTTGTACTATCTGCCAATCCACGAAATTGTGGAGGTAACCATACAATTCTACTCAAATTTGCCTGACTTAATGTATTTTCTATTTTTATCCAGCTTTTCCCCTTTGCATTATGTGTCCAATTGTAAATTCTTGCTAATATTACTGAATTATAATATTTTTTCAAATCTGGAACTCCTAATTCGCCTTTCTCTTTGTCTCTACACAAAATATCATGACTTATTCTGGGTTTCTTATTCCTCCAAATAAATCTTGTTAGAATTTTTCTAATTGTTCTAAAATATACTTCTGGTAGTTTAATAGGTATCATTTGAAAGTTATATAAAGTTTTTGGAACAATTACCATTTTTATCAGGTTTATCTGTTCTATCCATGACAGAGATCCCCATCCTGTTTTCCTTAATTCGTCCTTAATTTCATTTAGTAGTGGAATATAGTTTGATCTATATAGGTTCTTTGGAGATACTGTTAATTTTATACCTAGATATTTTAATTCTCTTTCTCCCCAAACAAAGGGGAATTCCTCCTGTAGCATTTTTTTCTCTCTATTAGGAAGGTTTATATTTAAATCTCTGTTTTAGTAGGGTCAATTGTTCAATTAGACATCTCACCATATTTTAAAGCTTTCATTAAATTTGGCAATGTTGTCCTTGGATGTCCCACATAAAATAACATATCGTCTGCATATGCTGCGACCTTATGCTCTATTTCCCTTCCCTTTATATCTATATTATTCCTTATAGTAGCCAAAAGCGATTCCAGAGATAAAACATATAGCAAAGGAGACAAAGGGCATCCCTGCCTTGTACCATTTTGCATCCCAAAGTACACTGATAATTCCCCATTAACCATGATTGCAGCCGAAGGTTGACTATATAATTTCCTTATCCATTCTCTCATCCTGGGTCCCAACCCTAGTACTTCTAAAGTGTCCAGCATATATCCCCAGTTTAATCTGTCAAATGCCTTTTCGGCATCAATTGAGAGTACTAGCGAAGGAGTTTTCTCTTTCCTACTTTTTTGTACGAGAAACCGCGATCTTAACCCATTGTCTCTACCTTCCCGTCCTGGGACAAACCTTACTTGAGCTGTATGTATCCATTCCTGCATTAAGTCTTGCATCCTATTTGCTAGGACTTTTGCATATAGTTTAGTGTCTGTATTTAATAAAGAGATCAGTCTATAACTTGAACAACGGGGATCGTCTTTACCTTCCTTATGTATTAGAACCACATGAGTAGGGATTCCCTCCTCATTGCCACCTCTCCTCCCAAAGCATTCATATATGTCCTCAGTTTGGGTAGTAATAGTTCTTTGTATTTTTTATAGTATCTCACTGTGTACCCGTCGGGGCCTGGGCTTTTCCTACCTGTGGTACTTTTTAAGGTTAACTGTATTTCTTCCTGTGTTATTGCTGTTTCAAGGGATTTTAGTTGTTCTACGCTTAATTTTGGTAATCTTGCCTTTTTTAAATATGCCCTTCTTTTTTCTATTATTCCCACCTCATTTTCCCCTATGATCCCCTGGGGATTAATATTATATAGTTTATTATAATATTCTTTTAAAACTTTTGCTATATCCTTAGTTGAATGCACTAATTCTCCTTTGCCATCTCTTATTTTCTCTATATAGTTTCTAGTTTGTTTGTTTTTTTTTCCTCTGAGCTCTCATTAAATATTTTCCTGGTCTATCTCCTCATCTATATCTCTCTCCTGTCATTTTATTAAACGCTCTCCTCCTCATATCTTCTTCTAGAAAACTATTTAATTCCTCTCTTTTGTTTAGTACCCTCTGCATAATCTCTTTTGTTACTCTATTTTTATGTGACTGCTCTTAATCACTGAGTTCATTAAGAAGTGTATTTATGTTTTCTCTTCTTTCCCTCTTCTTCTTTGCTCCTATTGCTATTAATATTCCTCTAATGTATGCCTTATGAGCTTCCCACACCCGTTGCCGCATCACTTCCTCAGAATCATTTTCCACAAAAAATTGCTGTATTTTCCTTAACTTTCTGATCCGTCTCTTGATCCTGAAGAAGTGACTCATTTAACCTCCATGTTTTCCCTCCTGTCAGCTCATTTCCCCATAATAATTGCATTGTGACAGGAGCGTGATCTGAAATCGACATAACTTCTGTATTTACTTTAACCAATGACTCTAAGTCAATGATCCAACAATATGTAATCCAGTCTTGAGTACATCTCGTGTGCATGAGAGTAAAACGTATAATCTCTATCCTTTGTGTGCATAACTGTACATATATACACAAGTTGACATTGGTATATCATTTTTTTTCGAAGATTTCAAAAACTTACTGCCATTTCTCTGAACAGGAGAAGTCTAATCCATCTGTGGATCCATACGAAGATTAAAGTCTCCTGCCACAATCAAATTTCCTTTTTTTGAAATCTATTAATTTCCTCAGGATATTTTTTAGGAATACCGCTGATTTCTTATTCAGGCAATAGATATTTGCTAATGTACATTCTATTTCCTGTTTCCTTCAGATCTTCTCCTTGGGGTATCTCTGGGAGACCTTGTATCCTTAAATTGCGTCTTCTATCCCTATTTTCCTGATCTTCCAATTTATA